TTCCCCTGGGATGGGCTGGGGGGGGGTGGGCTCCACTACACATTGCTGTCCTCCAGGAGAGGCTCCTTGCCCTCACCCCCCCCGGCCTGCGGGCTGTGGGCGTGGCTGTGGGCGTGGCCCTGGGCAGTGCCACCGTGCTTCTTGTAGCCAGGGGGCCGGAGGCCGAGGCCGCTGTGCTCGGGTATGAAGAGCGCCACCAGCAGGGAGAGCAGCACAGAGCAGGCCCCAAACAGGAAAGGGGGGCCGGGAATGATGGCACTCTGCGGGGAGGAAGGGAGGGGAAGGGTGAGGGCCGCGCGCGTGTGAGCGTGTGCGTGAGCGAGGGAAGCAGGGGGCGTGGCTACCTCATCGGTGGGGTTGGCCATGTTGGGCTGCGTGTTCTTCTCCGGTGTGCCCTCTGGCTCTATCTCGCTGAGCTCCACATGGAACAGGTAGAACACAAAGCCGTAGAGCGCCGGGCCCAGGCCGTTACAAAGGCCACGGATGCCGGTGATCATGCCCTGGACCACACCTGGGGAGGGGGAGGGGGGTGCAATACCCATAAGGCGGCTTCCTGGGTAACGTACCAGAGCGGCGAAATCGGGGCCTGTGGGGGTCACTCACCCTGCTGGTCAGGGTCGGCATTGCGGGACACGATGGCACTGATGGCCGGGAAAGTGATGCTGGACATGGCGGCCACCGCCCCAGCTGCCCACATCATCCTGAGGAAGGGGGAGGAGACCATCACTGACCCGGACCAGATGAGACCAGACTGGACACAGAATGTCGGGCTGTGGCCCTGAACCCCACACTCACCAGGGCTGAGATCCAAAGCCATACCAGGCCAGCTGCAGTATCTGAAAGCCCAGGCCCAGAAGGATGGTGTTTTTGTTCCCGATGGAGCGCATTAGGACTCCCAGCACCACCGTCTGTTGGGGAGGGGTGGTGACATATAGCTCAAAAGGTGCCCCCCTCCACCAGCTGGGTTTCATTTACATTTCATTTTCATAGTGTATCATTATACAATTTCCTCTAAATTGTTACAAAACACATTCAGTGGCATCTGCTGTCCAGCAGGGCGGCGCCCTAGCCACATCAGCTGACCTGGGCCAGGATGGACAGGATTCCCACCACTGCGATGAAGGCTGCCACCGTCTCTGAGGTAAACCCTATGACCTGGCAGCAGAAGAACAGGTGTCAGCCACCTCAAAACAAGACCCAGTAAAGTCCCTGAACGTGCAGCCCAGTGGCACAGTACCTGTCTGAGATAGAGGAAGAAACTGGAGTATTGGCCAGCCTCGGGAAGGTAGGACAGGAACACCGTAATGCAGATGAGCAGGACCGTGGAGTCCTGGCCCACCTTGCGCAGGGACTGTGGAAGGGTACAGGGTGAGCCGTCAGTTTGTGTCAAGACGGGCAACTGGCAGATTACAAACTGCAGCGCCTGTCCCGTTGCAGGGCGTGTCCCATTCTGGGATATGGATCATTGCCGTAACTGGATAAACGGGTATCGGGAAAAACAAACAAAATCACCAGGCCACAGTGCAGAATTTAACACTTCCCTTAAACCCAGACAGGAAGGTGGCACACGCAGACGGCACATGGCACGGGGCCAGTGGGGGCACTCACGGCGAAGGGGTCGGCCTGCTCCCAGGAGATCGGCGCCCCCCAGGAGGCCGGCCTCATCTTCTCCGGCAGGGACTCCGGCACGGCCACCAGGATGAAGCCCACGTCCAGCAGGGCCACGCCCGTGGCCAGCACCACCACCAGCGTGTCGCCGTAAGTCGCCGACAGGTAGGCGCCGATGGCCGGGCTCGTCACCAGGCTTGCCGCAAAGGTGGCGGACACCTGGGCGGGGGGGGGGGGGGTTAAATGGGTCGGTAAAGTCCCCATTAGGCCCTGCCGTCACGGGGCGACCTGTGTGACTCACCAAGCCGTAGGCCGTGCTTCGCTCGTGCTCCTGCGTGATGTCAGCCACATAGGCGAAGATCACGGAGAAGGTGACGGCGAACACGCCTGACATGGAGATGACCGCGAAGTACCACCTGCGGGAGGGAGGGGCAAACCGTCACAGAAAGATCACAGACTCACTCCCATCTCGAGTCACTATGGAAGCCACGCCCAGACCAACCAGGGGCTGATCTTCATCAGGGGGATGGGAGCACAGGTGAAGAAGACCGTGAGCAGCAGGAAGGATTTGCGACCCCATACGTCGGAGAGCGCCCCAATCAGGGGGGCGCTCAGGAAAGACAGCAGACCCTGGGGACAGAGGGGACCGGTCAGCGGCGTCATGAGACATACAGTGACCTCCCATCATGCTCGATGTGGCTCCCCGCTCACCTTGACGCCATGAATCAGCCCGTTCATCAGGAAGGTGTGCTGTGGGAAGGTCTGGTGTAACACCTGTCAAGTAAACAGGCAGCTGTCACAGCCAATCAGGACAGCCCTTTTAACCAGATGTCAACACCGCAACTTAAGAGAGGTTACAATTACAATGAAGGGGGCGGTGCTAAAACAGCCAGCAAGGTGGGGCTCAGCCAGTTAAATTCAATGTTTGTGGTCAGCAGAGTGGTTTCAGCTTGAGCAGAGCCCCTAACCCCAAATGCTCCAGCAGGTACTGCCCCATAAAGAGATGTACAGCGTAAGGTACAACTAGCCGATCGTCTATTTCTAGCCTCTGAGAAACTTCCCACAGACCAGAATAATCTATCTATTGCTTCACAGACCAACATCAGTTCTGTTCCTTAAAAACCTCATTGTTCATGCTCTAAGTAAACCTTTAAAACATTGTGGGTTTCCTGCCCGGCCCACCGTGAGCATCGGTGTCGTAAGTAGACCCCAGGCGAAGAACTCCAGGAAGATGACCACCACGGCATGGTAGACGCTAGGCTCACCGATGCCCTGAGACTGCGGGGAGGAAGAGAGCCATGTCAGATAATCATGGAGAACCGAATCGCCCAACAGCTGGAGGTAAATCCTTCATGTAAAGGCAGTGGTTCCATACTCTTGGTTAGTTGTCACAATGTATACTCACTGGTACTAGTAATCACACGTGTATACCAACGTCACAAGGCAGTTAACGAAACATTAAATAACACCCTAAATGCAGTTTATAATATACATTTAACAACAACACCCAACACCTGTAACTGGCATCGGCGCAGTTTATTCAATTATTTATACAGTTTTCTAATTTAATCCTATAAAGCAAACCGACCGAGCAGCTGGACCGCACTGGCTAACAGCTCTCCACGGCATTAAGCGGCAGGTGCCAGGGAGGTTAGCTTTCGTGGTCAGCGTCGAGGTACGTGAGCTGCGAGCGGATAAACAAGCCCCTGTGCCCCTTTTACATGGTTATACCTCGATAATACCCCGGGGAGAGCTCGGCCGCTACTTCGGGCTGAGACCCGGGCGGTAACGACCTGGTGCCAGCGCGCCGGCGATTGACACGAGCGCCGATCCGTAAGCTGGGCATCTCCTGCAGAGCCCGAAGGGAGTGGGGTCAGGCCGCCATGTAAGCGGGCCGTCCTGCCACCGAAGTGCCCCAGAAGCTACGGAAAATAAATATTTAACTCACAGTGCCTCCATCTTTAATAATGATTTTCTTGGCGAGAAGAATACTGCGGTTCAGCCGCTTCTTCTTCTTCTTCTCCCCGGTCATCGTTAACTCGCACCCATCCTCGGCAGCCGTACAGTGACGTGCGGATGATCGACGCCGCTTACGGGTAAATATCGCACGATCCGAGGGGTTCTCACGCCTCCGCCTCACGATGGCCCATCTTCCTGAACGGCGGGCGCACCGCCCCCTGCTGCGACGCCGTGCCGCGATTGGCGGGCGCCCAGGACAGGCGGAACACACTCCGCATTCTATTGGCCACAAGGCTACGCTCATCAAGCAGGTCCTGGAATCTCATTCGTTAGAATCATCACGAGTTTCGCGTAATGGGGAGACGGACTCCGCGGCAACGGGGCGTGACCCCGCGAGTCGTTCGGTCGTGAAGTCATATGTGTTCGCTTAAGGGTGTTGCCTCCTTCCATAGGTTGATGACGTCAGCTCCGCATGAGCTTTCCCTGTGCGATATACCCCGCACTCCAGACATATGTATTGCATAGGCACGGTAAAGATGCATGCAGTATGAATATTTCTATAAAGTGGACCCCGAACAGCCCTACGGCGGCAAATGATTGTAGAAGTTTCACTTTCTCGTAATTTCCTTCACTTTCGTTTTATGCATAGAAAGTGACTATTCAATGTAAAAGCATTATCAAATCCCTGCATAACTAAAATAAACTGAATTATGTTGGACTGGCATCCTATCCTGAGTGTTTCGCATCTGTGGGGTAAGCTGTGACTAGTTACCTCCAGGGTAATGGGTGATTGCTGGATGGCAGGGTTGTTTTGACAGGTTATTTGGGTGTGAAGTACCAGTGGTTCACTGGCAGCTATTGTCCAAACACAATCACACTTACAGTAACAACCGCAAGGAAATAGAATCCAGTAAAGTGCAGAGCAAATTTTCAATACTCAGTCCAGTTTTTGTTGTTTCCGAGACCAATGACCTAAAGCAGTGTTTCTCAACCGGGTACTAGGGGACCCCTAAACGGGCTCCGTTTTTGCCCCCAGCTCCTGAGTAATACTGTGGCATGGCTGGGGGCCCCTCAGGACATGTTTGAAAAAACACTGACCGAAAATGAGGCTTCCTCATCATATCTTACAGTAATGGGAACCAAAACTCATTCAGTCCTCATATCATTCAATGAATAACTTTCATTAAATTTCCAAAACTTGATGAAATTTTCTTTAAAAAGCATCCCATGGATGGAGTGAGTTTTGGAAATTTGCTCTCCAATTACAAGAGCTATCATCATGGGTGGAAAAGCTGTATTGTTCTGAAGGCACAGTAATGAGCAGGAGAGGAAAACAATGACAGGCGATTAATCCTTGCTTGGTGAAGGACTCACTCTAACTTGCTTTAATAGACATTTTTTAAAAAATAATACAACCAGAAAATATAGAAGGCTGGCTTGCTGAAATGGTAATCCTGTTTCAATTGCTCTTATTGTACATGTGACTGCAATCTTTCCATAACTAACTGCAGTAAAAGGAAACCTCCAAAGCTATTACCCTTACTATGGTAGACTCCGCCCCCAATCTCCTCAGTGATTTGCTCCCCTGAACTACAGGTTCTCATCTATGTAGGGAATGTTGAGACCCTTCAAGGGACCTTGGACTGAATTGGATCGCTTGTGGTCCCCAGGAGCTTTGGGGACAGGGGGTTGATCTTGTGTCCTCTCCTCAGGTGTGGTCTTTTTCTGGTGCTTGGGGTCCTTCGGCTGCCTCTTGGACGCCAGAGAAGTGGAAGCCGGGTTTGTCGATGGCTCCACCTCAGACTGGCATGGTGTGGGCGTTGTTATCGGTGCTGTGGCTCCTGGCACAGAGTTCTAAACTGTAATTGGGCACCTCGATCACAGTGTCTCCCTAGCAAGCCCACCTCTGCTAGACCAATCCCTCATCACTGAAAAGACGCATGGACCCAAATTCATAGAATGAATAAACTCTCATTATGGATTAACCCTGCTATTTGCATTGGGACCCGTTTACTGGAAACAGTGCCATTACTGGGGTATATCAAATATTGGGGGCTTTAATAAAGATGAAGTATTCCTATCTTACAAACATCTTATACGACATTATGGTATGGCAAAGAACACTTTCAGAAATATTTACAGATAAGAGAACTCTACAAGTTATCAAATAAGAGGCGATTCATCCAATGTAAAAGAATGATATGGCAAAGGGAACTAGGGGGGGATAATCGCACCAGAAAAGTGGATGCAAATGATAACGTGGTAAATATGTGTGGGAAGCGAGGGGGATGTTTATACAGCACAAAATATTGCACAGGCATTATCAAACTCCACCACGGTTGTTTAGAATGAAACTGATGAATAATAATTTGTGTTGGGAATGCCAGACCGAAGTCGGAACCTTTTTACCCCCCGTGTGAGGACGCACTCGGACTTAACCATTCTGGGCAAAAATGCTAGAAGTCCTGAGCATAACAATTGCTTCCCATATTTATGCCTATTGGGAGGCAGATCACAAACACCAAAAACATCGAAAGAAAAATAGTCATTTACGAAGGTTGGCGTAATTACAGCTTCCAGGGTTATTTTGAGACACTGGAGATCAGCTTTTGCTCTGGCTGTAAGGAAATAGGCAGATGTAATGGTAGAAATAGCATCCTATGAATGTAGGATGGATTTTGGATATTGTGTGTGTGTGTGTGTGTATATATATATATATACACACACACACACACACACACATACATATACACACACACACACACA